TATGGTTGTAATTTTTCTATGATAGAAATAAATAAAATCGTTGAATTAAAAAAAAAAACAAAATCATTTTTTATCTTAGTTTATATTAAATATTCTCTTTTTTTATAAACAAAATATAATTTTCATTAAAGTTGTCATTTTTAATATAACTTACATAATTTTCTAAACATTTATGTTTATATACATTTTAATCTTTATTTTGATTCTTCATATTTCTGCCGTTTTTAATAAAAATAGTAATCTTATGTAAATGTACTTAGATAAATAAATACACATAAAATGTTATCTTATTTACTCTGAGATATTAAACAGAGCATACATCGTAAATTCTTTTTTATTTGAGGTAATTTGTCTAAACAATTAATATGCTTAAAATTTAGTTTGAACTTAGATACTTTTCTTGTCTATCCCGAGTCATATCTCTATGTTTTAATTAATTTATTGCTCACCATACCATAAATGAGAGAACCTCGAACCCAGAAAGTGCCGGTAATAAAGTATAAATGATGATATAAAAAATCATATCAAGATCAAGGTCCATTCTTTTGTAAAATAATTGATTAATTATTACAACATACGTTATATAACATGACATAACTTTTTTTGCGTTTCACTATTTACTTTCATAATCGAAGATTAAAATTATTAACAAGTTTTTGTTTTATTGCATCATTATTGCGACTCTAGGACAAATAGAATTGTTTGAGTGAGTTTTATTTAACGTTGATGTTCACAATGTTCAATAAATTGTATTTTTGAGATGCATAAATTATCACTAGTCCAACACTTTATACTTCTAACGTTAAAAGATTTAGAATTAATTAATTTTTTATCGAAAAGTTTTTATTATTTTTCACCACTTTATGAAAAAAGTGAAAATGATAAGGAAATGATCCATTAACTTTTTTTTAAACTTCAAAAAGTTTTCAGTCATATTTTTTTCATCTTAGAGACGAAGAAAATATCTTGGCCAAAATCCAAGCAAAGTATTCTGAAAATCATTCCCGTCTTCTCGCAAATGAAAAGTGTAAAATTCTTTTAAACGATGTTATTAATTATAAGAAAAAAATCTCCTCGCTTTCGGCTTTTGACTTCAATAACTTTCATAAAAACATTGCAGTTTAGCGAATCATTAATCTTTGTATAAAAAAAAGGAAAAATAGTTCAAAATGAATAAAAATTATCATTTAAATTGAACGCGTCTTGAAAATTCTTACTAAATGACACTTTACAAAAATGTCAATGTTTATATGTTATTAAAATATGTTTTGCATATTTTACATATCACTGTGTTTTCGATAATCAATGGTGCTTTACAAAAAAAAAACAAATAATATACATCATAAATTTAAGCTATATATTCAGTATATATAATTTTCTGCATGAGTGACTATTCACAGTGATTAATAAACCAACAATTTATTTTAAATGAATTTTTCCTACATCATATTCAGTTCTGACCAATATGATGAGCATTAAAATTAAAGATAAATACATTTCACGATATTGAATTAAATGATGCAATTGAACAAACAACAATTCACTCATTCTACACGAGAATGTGATAATAATTAATGGCTGATTAGTTTCACTCTGTCAACTCGGATTTTAACAAATATTTGTTGAGTGATTCGCAATCATTGCCAGAACACCCGGATTTTCTCGTCTGGAATTTTTGTTTAATTATGGAAAACTTTCAAAGCCATTAAGTATATTGCAAGGATTTCACCTATGAACATATTTGTTTTTAAGTGATAAAGAAAATGTCAAATATCATTTCAATAATTAGTCAAACACCTTAATTCTTGTTTATTTTTTGATAAAATTTTATTTTTTTTCTTGGTTGTCATTTGCATACTTTATGTCGACTCTAAAAAGCTTCGCAAATTTCGTAGAAAGTCAATTTGAAGTAGTGGAAAATTAATTTGTTGTATTAGGAATTATAGTGTGCGAATTTTAGCACACTAAGGTGGCAACTTAAATTAAAAAGTTTATCCCAGTTAATTGTGTGGGTTCTAGAAACCGTAAGATATTTTCTTTCTTTAATTCTTCTTTTTTCTCGATTCTTTTCTTTAGGAATTCAGTCACCACAAGAGTATTCGCTAGTTGAAACACTCTGCAACTTAGAAGAACCTCTTCTTACGGAAAGTTTCAACTACTCGAAGTCACGAGGATGCATTTAAAGTTATCTCTATTCCCGTGCTCATTGAGCTTATTATAAGGAATAAACTGTTACTCCTAGAACTAAGAGAATTAATTGCATTGTTGATCATGAATTCAATAATTCCTGATTTATTGTACTGAAGGTTATAAGCTTCAAAGATTAAATAATAAAAATTCAATTATTACTTTGGCATTGTAGAAATAAATATACTTCCATTTGCTATCTCATTGATTTGCTATAACTGTCTCTGAAAGGTCCAATTGCAATGCTTGCTGATTTATTATGTTGAATATTTGAAGTTTCAAAGTCCTCTGTACGGCGTTATTAAACTAGTCATTTATAAGCTGCATGATATAAAAAATTATTATTATAACAATTACAGTTTAATTCATTTAATTAAATTTTTTTCAAACTATTTATTACCTTTCAACAGAATATTTTGTTAAATTACAACTGTAAAAAAAATTATACATAATTTTATACAAAGAGTTGGAATATAAATTACGTTGTTGATAATAGATTTATTTCGGATATTATTTGATACATTGGATAAAATATTGCAACTTTCTGTTTAATTATGGAAATAATTATGTAAATGAAAAAATTAATAAACAGCGCATTCTGCACAGAATAGATGGAGTAAAAAGTACTCTTGAATTTAGGGCAACCCGAGTATCTTACAAGAAAGGAATTTTTATAAAGCAGAAAGTAAAATTTTACCATTTTGCAGGCTAAATTTTACTAATTTTTCTTTTCGTATACACATAAGATATGTAATTATTTCAATATTTCTGGTTAATTTCATGACATGATGAATACATACCGAAATGATTTCGTTAAATTAACTCATACTAGTAATAAAGTTATTAAAAGCTATCCCTGAGGCACTGATTCTATTTTTCGCGTATAAACTTTGCCCCTGGCTCATATACTAATTGAATTTCGAATACATGAACAGCAGTCACCTAATAATTATTTCTATTCCATGGAGAGTCAAGTAACAATAGAAAAATAATACATTCGCGTTATCTGCAATCGCTAATTTTCAATAATGAAATTGATTACTCAGTAATTCCATCAGGATCCTCAGTATTTATAGAACTCAGCAGGTATTATAATGAGCAAAAAAATAACTTCCATCAAAAGAAAAGATGAACTTTTTTTCACATACATTTTTCCACAACAACTGTCGAGAGAACTATTATTATTTTCTTTTATGATCTGTTTCACATCATTAGAACAAAATATCGATGTAAGATTCATTACAGAAATGGATACAATTTAAAATACATTCTCATTAATGTTAAACAACATTAAAGATAGATATGACATTGTTTTAAAGATTTTATCTATATATTTATTGTAAAAAAAATAAAAAATGTTATCTTTATACACGAACGTTATAATTATTATGATGAAAATCGATTTTGAATATGCTTTTATAATAATAAGTTAAGGTGATGAAGTAAATCAATGTTATAATAAATTTCACGAAATATCATAGAGAGACATTGAGTATTTTATAATGAATTATTTTCCATAGTTAATATTGTAATATTTATGATCAAAAATACTTTTACATGATTAATAACTAATGAAAGCATATAAATTTTTAACGTATTTACATAAAAAAGTCATGAATAATATTGAATGAACTTATTACTGTAAACAAGATACCAATTTTGATTAATTCGTCATAATTCTGTCACTAAATTTTGGACAAATTATTTTTATTTATCATTTTTTTAGATATTTAATAAAGTAATTGTGGACCACAATGATCCACTATAGCATGATACAACATATTCATTAAATTCTAATTATTATATTATAAATAAATCATGATAAAATGTTTTTCAAAAGTTTACAAATGACAATATTACATGAATCATAATAAATATTTTTATATCTTAGTAATTTAATATTCATTTCAATACCATATGTATAATAATAAAAAAGATAAAAATTATATACACATAGCATAATAATCATTATCATTAGCTGGAATGTATTTTCCAGTTGACTTAATCAAAAATTGACGTGGCAAATTACTTCACATTTTCTGTCTTCTTCTTCATCATCCACTTACCACGTGATATGGCACGCGACTCTCATATTCTCGCTGATATATTGTTCAAGCTTGGCTTCAATAGCATGCACTTGATGCCAATTTGATTCTGTATACTTTTACACTACAACTCATCGTCTTTATCGTTGAGTTCTGCTGGTCTTGATGTTCTTTGAAGTTCTATAGTCACGTGCACCAGTCTCTCGCGTCATGCCCCGAATCCGTCCGATCATTAAAATTCCAAGTAAACAAGTTTATCGAGTTGAGGGTGAAAAGACGAATAAGTAAGCAAAGTAAATGTAAAAGAGACACAGGAAGAACTGTTTTGCTCTCGTATCGTTGCTATCTCTAATAAATTCTTCAACTTTTAAGTTAAACTAAAGTTTCTACTACTTTTTCCAGCAAGTTTTCTCAAGAATAGGGTCGTTTTCTATTAAGCCCAAATTACTGCAATAATTTTCTTTCGTATCATTTATTTCACTCATATCAACGACATTGAGTCATTTGGACTAGTCATTGACCTGTTATGACGCCGTTTACATTGAAATTGTCGAGTGGCGAAACAAAACTTGACAGAGAATAAAAAAATTTTCAATTCCAATATCTGTGATATTAGTTACGAGATCAAATTATCATGATATTCCAACAGCTTTTATTCTTGTATGAATTAGACTATGTGACTAGCTAAGTAGACATGTAAATAAAGTCTTCAGACAACTATTAGTGATATGATTTATTTGATAAATCATCATCGTTTATCAAATAATTAGAGTAATAAAAAGACGACTTATCAATCGTGAGAGTCAAAAAAGAAGAACAAATGTATTCGTGGCAAATGAAGAAGGGATATATAAAAGCTGAAAAAAATAAAGAGGAGGGAGATGACGAACTCTATTTCCGACGAATCAACGCTCTCGTTTCCTTCTCATCGTAATTCTCTTTCTCTCTTACTCTAGTGTAAGTTGACATAAACAATGTGAACAAGATAAGCAAGCCCTGATGTCAGTTAACATAAGAACGCCTAGTAACTAGTGTTCAGTAAATTATACATAGTCAGTTCGTGTTGACGTCTCGATCTTTTTGCACTCATCTAATATTAAAGCCTATCAATTGAATTGCTTGTAATATAACAAGCCACGCGTATGTATTTCTACTCTTCGAACAAACAGCAATCAAGTTCAGTACAAGAGTTATCTATTCACAAAACGGTAACTAGAACATCTAACAATAAGTGAAAAATGTGCACAAAAGCTGCATTGAAATTTTTTTTTAAATAGAAAAATAAAAAAGCTTTTTTTCTCATTCAATAGACGGACTAAAGTAAAAGACTCAAAATGGTCATGGAAGCATCAGCAATGGTGGTGGATTATTTGGTGTTTATTGCTGTAATCGTCGCTTCATTTGTCATCCCACTTTGGGGAAAGTTTCGTGCAAAGAAAAAAGAAACAAAAGCAAGTTATGTATTTGCTACGGGAAGTGTATCAATGGGAGCGATGATGTTATCAATAGCCCGTGGCACGCTTGGTGTGAGATCTTTCCTTGGATATCCTTCCGAACTCTATTATCATGGAAGTGCAATGTGGGAAACTCTCTACGGTATGCTTCTGGCCTACCCGATTGTCTGTTTCATCTTCGTTCCTGTATATTACAGTCTAGGAATTACGTCGGTTTATCAGTATTTAGACATGAGGTAATATACATTATCTATACATATGCATGTTGATTATTGATTTAGAAGACTATTAGGGAACAGATTAAAAAATTATGTGTTTGTAGAATAGTTTTTTATTAATAATAATAATATTTGTATTCAATTATAATCTTATCAGCTTGTTTTGAATGAAATTAGCTGGGTTTGGTGTTGATACACGTCTGCAATAATCTTAATGATTTGCCAACTAATTATACTTGATAATAATTTTACAAATCTGGTTATGAACTTTAGTTATAACTTGTTATATTTAAATTTAAACTATACAACTGCTTTTAAGTTGATAATGAATTAAACAAATAAATGTAACTATTTATTGCAAAAAAGTTTTCAGATAAAAGAAATTATTAAATAATTAGTCATCAGAGAGCATTACATCCATGAAATCTTTTATTACCACCAATATAAGAAATTTATGAAAAAAATAATAAGAAACTAAAATAATATTTTTGTTAATTATTAGAATTTATTCTGGTAAATAAGATAAGTAATACCAGATAAAAAGGAATATTCCATTGTTTGATGAAAGTTAAAATATAATTTTAAGTGTTTCAACAAAAACGCTATACTTTTTCATATTAATCTAGTAAAAACTTCCAAGTTATTCCATTTTTATTAACTCAGAATAACTTTAAAATTATATTACTCCTCTACTTAATCAAATTTAATATGCTTTACGCTGAAAGATAAGTTAATAAATCAGAGTACTATTAATATGAAAAAACAGAAGCTTTCAATGATTCTAATTTGCATGCTAAAAGAAACAAGTGCATCAAAAAAAGCAATTAAAAAGCATGAACTCAAATGATATTTTGAGTTGTAACATCTCTCACAATTATTAATTATGTAGACTTGTATCATTATCACAACTAAAGTTCTTTTTGTATCCTGAAAAAAGTTTTTCTTTCAATGTGATGTAATGAACAAATAACAGTAAATTATTTTTTTTCATCAGGTTTAACTCCAAATTAGTAAGATGCTTAGCAAGTTTCTCATATGTTCTTCGAAGTCTCCTGAACTTGGCAGTTGTTATTTTTACGCCATGTGTAGCATTAAATACAGTAATTGGTTTACCTTATTGGGCTTCTATAATTGGAATGACAATGATATCAGTTGTTTTTTCGTCTTTGGTAAGTATTAAGCTAATTTCACTGAAACATAAGTGTCCTCAAGCATTACAATTACTTAGAAAGATAATGATATCATTATAGGGTGGTCTTAAGGCAGCTATTTTGTCCGATGTAATTCAAGGAGTCACCATGATTGGCGTTTCTTTCGTTATTATCGTTCAAGGAGTCATTGATGTAGGAGGACCCGCTACAGTCTTAAACGTGACTCAATCACGTGGAAGACTTGACTTTTTTGAGTAAGCACTTTTATCTCCTTGCATATATAATGTTAGAAACGATTAGTCACTGATGATATTTATCTATGTATAAATATTTAATTCATGCAGCTTTAACATGGATCCAACTCTACGTGTCACCACCATATCTGCTACACTTGGTCAATTATTTATGAGTCTATCAGTCTTCGGATGCCAACAAAACTTTGTACAACGATATTGCAGTATGAGTAGTCGAAACAAAGTTGTTAAGTAAGTGAAAAAAATATTTCAACTATATGTGATAGATTAGAATTGCAAATTTTCTTTTCATAGAGGCGAATGAATAATATTATTTTCTTTTTTTTTTACGTCTATTGATGATCATGATCAGTTTTATTTTATGCTAAAAAAATCTGTACTGTGGATAAAAATGAGTCATCAATTGGTACGTTAAGATTATCTTGTAATCATCGCACATTTGTTTTCATTTTTCTGGTAGTTTAAAGATAATCAATTATAAATGGCTGATTAGAAACTTCTCATTGTCTATTAAATTTATATGTTCCAAGAATCTTACATATTGAAGTCAGAGTTATTAAATTAAATAGATGTGATCAATTAAAGATTACTAATTCAAATTCTAATTTATAACACATCATTTAATGGACAAATGAAATGTTCTAAATTTTCGAATTCAATTTCATCAGTATTATTTTAAATTATTCATTTTTTAAATAACTAATCAGTTTTTTTTTGACGGGAAAATCATCGGGCTAATTCATTGAAATTAAATGAATAATGAAATTTTCAAATTAGTTACAGTATAATTGATAAATAGAGCTAAAATTTCTTAACAAATAATTTGAATGAAATAATTGATGAATCCCAAAATATTTTCAGGACGATGATGGCCAACATGCCAATCATTACTATCCTCTTCTCCCTCTCATGGGTAGTAGGGATGGTGATATTTGCAACATACGCCGACTGTGACCCTTACACCCTAGGGTACATCTCTAAATTCGACGAAATTATAGCTTTCTATGTAGAAGACAAACTCACATACCTTCCTGGACTACTTGGCTTGGTAATGGCAACCCTCTTTAACGGTGCTCTGACAATCGCTGTCTCCAATCTCAACTCTCTTGCCACGGTAACCTTCGAAGACTTTCTCAGCCAGATACCAGCCCTGAGTAATCTCAAAGACCGCCAGCAACTCCGGCTCATCAAACTCATCGGGGTGATTTACGGCATACTGATAATAGGTGCTAGTTTCCTCGTTGGAATGCTTTCGGGTGTTATAGAGTCTTCGATGCTGATGACTTCCGCTACTTCGGGACCTCTTTTGGGAGTTTTTGTGCTTGCAATGCTCATACCATGTGCTAACTGGAAAGGAGCTGCTTCTGGAATAATTGTAAGTCATTTGTTGTCCTTATGGTTGACATTTGGACACCTGACAGTTACCGATGAACGCGCTGCTTTGCCTCTTTCAATTGATGGCTGTCAGAATGACACTTTTTCTTCACACTTAATGAAACCTAATTCTATTATTGGAGATCAAAGTCTATTCACGACGACTCCGGCTCCCTTAATCGAGAATTCACACAAAGGAGTTCTCGAGCAAATATACAGTATTACTTATATGTATTATGCTCTTATTGGTAGCATGACAACAATAATAGTTGGAACAATTGTCAGTTTAATTACTGCGAACGAAAAAGAAGATGCATATGAAGAACATTTACTACATCCTATCGCTCTTAAACTTTCCAAGTGTTTCCCGGGTAAACCACGACTCTTTGCTGAATCGCGACGACTAGGGGATGACAATGATGGTACCAATCCTGCCTTCAATGCATCTATGTCATCTGTAGATGATGGAATGACCAAACTTAGTCCTCCTACTGACCCCGAGATAAATGGTAAGCTCGAGCCAAATAGTATGGCTTACATAAGAAAGCTTAATGCGCTTAAAGAGGCTTCTCTTGAAGTTACCAATGAAGTTGGCAAAGGCACGAAACTTTAAGGAAGTATCTTATGGATTACACTGGATTACTGTAGTGCTTACAGGACAGACTGACAATCGGATTCAAGTCCGGTTGAAGCTTGTGATTACAATTAATATTTGAGATAGTTTTCGAATTATTAATCACTTGTCATTATTTTCAATTCATTTTTGTAAATATCTACTGAAAGTGATTGTTAAGCCTAGTATTATGTAATATTGACACTCATAATATGTTATAACAAATATCTAGCGTGAAGCATTTTATAACGTTTATTAATCTTTATTTTGATATTTCAATGTGCAATTATTTTCTTTTATATTTGACTTTCATTATTTATCAGTTAAAGTTAGAGTTAGAATTCACGTTAGACTTATTTCTCAAGTACTGTAAATTGTGTACGTATTCCATAGTGTTAGAAAATTTGTTGAGATAGTTTGTAGATAAATTGTTGAAATATTGTACTTCTGTTAAGAAAAAAATCCTTAATAGAATTATTTTTTTAAGAATTAGATATTTTTCTTTTGAAAAATAGTTTTTCTCCTTGTTATAATAACTGATAGTTAAGTAAATACTCAACTTCATTGATCTTGTTGAAGATTGTATACTATATAACCATTTAATAAAACAAATTTTTAATAGGGATAATTTTTATGAGTATGAACAATGATATTGATGATAATGTTGATAATATATTGCGTTGGATGCATGTATGTATGTCGGAAGGATCGTTAGGTGTTATAAATAAAAGTGATTAATTATCTGTATTTGCGCTGTAAGAGAATTTGTTCATTCGAATCGAATTTATTATATTTAGTTTTGTTGAGTTTTTGAAGAATTGATATATGCAATACGTAAATAAATTTTTATATATATGCTTTTCACAATAGAAGCATAAATATGACCATGTAAAATTCACAAATGTAAATTTGTTTTGTTATTTGTGCTTAATTTTTATTTCAATTTTCATTTTTTTAATTACACGTCTTTCTTTGTACTATATTTTTTATGTTAATTAGCATACATAAAATACAAAAGACAAGTGTTATACATGAAATACAAAAAGTAAAACAGACGAAAGCATGATCATTATGCACAACTGGGTGAGAGGTCATATAACATTTCATCCACTTTGTGTAATTTATTGTGGCTGGAATACCAAATACACAAGTTCTTGTGGATGTGAATATGCAATTAATAGACTACGTATAATCATGATTTTCGAAAACCTTTTACAATCATTGTACGAGATAACACTAGAGTTAAATGTCCATTAATTTAATTAGCAATGAAAATGATAATGATAATGCTAATTATCTTGCACAGAAAATTATGACAATAATAAAGTTCTAAGAAGTCGTATTAAGTGTAAAACTTTTCTAAGAACTTGGATTCCAAGTTCTAGATATACTCAAGAACATGCAAAAAATTCAATCTGAAAGTAATAAGTACGTGTAGATAGTGATTATGAAACAATTATGTTATTTTTTATTTGAAAAATGAAGTTAAATATGCAGAGTTATGAAAATACAAAAATTGTTATTATCACCTTTTATTTTATGAATTGAAAAAAATTGTTTCTAAGATAAAGAAAAATATTTAAGCTAGAAAATATTTTACTTACAATTTCCAATGAATTTTTTTTTATAGACGTGTTGATAAATATATTGAATTTTATAAATTCAATATCTGATCTATGTAAAGTAAGATTGTTATTATTATATAATATAGAATAATTAATAATTCAATAAGTTAAACTGTAGCTAGGAAATTTAATTCAAATTGTTTAGAATTTAAAAGAGTCAATTATTGTCAAATAACAAACCAAAATTTTTATGAATCACAAGAGTTCTTTTTATTTAAAACTATGAATCTGTTAATTTCAGAACAGTCATCATGATTTAAAATACAATTTATCTTAAACATAGGTGCTGAATATGATGAAAATTTCTCATGACTGAATTAAAAAATTTAATAGTATAATAATAATATTATTAAAATTGTTATACTAATAAGCTTTTACAATTCAACGAAAAAAAACAGAGCATTCAATTGATCTAGAATTAGTGATGAATATTTGAGCTTTTTCAGGAGTAAAATAATATCCAGAAAGATTATATCAATGTAAGTACTTAATTTCCATTCGCATAGAGTCGCATTGAGGAAAAAGGAAAGGCAAATCAAGATGACTTTCCGGCTGGTTGAACGACAAGGTCGAACTCTCGCTTATCGTCTCTGTAGAACCAACGACAAGAGATTAGGGGGTTGTTATCTTCTTCGTTGAGTTTGCCTGGGGTAACGGTACGAGACGAACGTTTATTTCCTAGCGATTTCAAATGTGCCTCGATTTGCTACTCGATGCAATCGTCTGAAATTTCAAATTTGCACTGCCAGCGCTCTAATACATATGCTACGAAGGGTTGTTCATGGTCTGATTTGCGGTCATGCTCGTTATTATTCGGTTCACCCAGCAGGAAATTGAATGAAGATCATTTTACAGTTTGTACTTTCTCATAACTATTATTTTTGTGAACTAAAATATTGTAATAAAAATATCAGTCACAATTAAATATTCCAAATCACAAATGTATGACATAAATGAATAATCTTCAAATGAATAATAATAAATATTTCATATACATGTTGAAATTTTGACAAGCGAGAATAATTTATTTATCGAGTAAAAATGGTAAATTTTTATATTGTATTTAAATCATCTTGATGTATTTTTATCTTATTGAAATCGTCTGTAAAAGAACTGGTTTTATATAGTAAGGAAGATAGAGCTGAAAAAAGACGAAATATTAATTGGAGAAAAAAAAATTGTAGACATAAATGGAAATTTTATTTATGTTTTTTTATATTTCTCAACGTTGTCACCTTTTGTGGACAAATGTGTTAGAAATTCTGGCAAAATAACTGAGGCAAAAATGAAACACAAGTATAAAAAAAACTGAAAATAAAAGAGTGTTTAAGAAAAGAAAAATGAGGAGAAGTTGAAAAAGAAAGGATCTCTTGGAGTAAATCCAACTTTCAGTCTGTTCGAAACACCCCAACCGGCCAAATCGAATCTTTCTTCATTATTTAAATGAAATTCTTGGAGAATTGCCGGATCTTTTTTTGTATCGCGAAGTCAATTTACTTGGGTTGAATAAGTTTCATATGATAAAAGAAAATATATCTTTGAATTAATATCAATTTTATGCACACCCCTGACGAGGATTAATTTATGATTTTCACTTGCCAAATGCTTTAAAATAAATATAATAACAACATTCTTATCTATTTATTGTTTATCATCAAGTATCATAGTAACCAAAACAAACAAAAAATAAACAATTTTATAATTAGCTTAACCTCTTACTGGTTATAACGATTATTTTTTTTACTAAAAATTCTTAAATTATCCAACAGAATTAATCATTATTTTCAAGATGTTAATAGACTTGAGGTAAGTATTTGAGAGAGATTATTGTTCTAAAAATAAAATTTAAAATTATATTGATGTGATGAGAACCTAGATATTCAGAAGAGTAAGTACGACACTTTTTTTCGTCTTTCATGTTTTTTTTAAGGAGAATAAAGAAAGTTGGAAAAGCTCTCAAGGCGAATCTCTGACTTTTACGATTGACACAACGAGTGTTTCAACTCGGCTGTCTTGACATTAACGCGACCAACGACCTTTTCTTTTTCATACGATCTCATCAATTCTTAATCTAAGTTGAAACACATATGAAATATCTCCAGGCGATAAAATATATATTTACGGTCATTTAGTAGATAAAATAAGACTAAAAAGAGCTCTAAAAAAACCCATTTTTCTCCAAATATTGTTCAGGATCATTTTATTATAATTAATCTTTCCCTTCTTTATAAGCTAAAATCCATTTCTTGTTATTTATTTCTTATTTGATTCTATTTTTTACAGACAAAATGATACTCAAAAATAAGATTAACCGTCAATTAATTTTTTTAACCCATTTAGTTAATTTAGAAATGCTCAAATTGTAATTCTATATTTAACACAAATTACTCCAATTCCAGTTTCATTGATTCTCGATTTAATTGAATATAAAAAAAACTTTTAAATGGTACCTGGTATGTTACAATAGCTTGTGTAATTATTTTCACACTGTCATTTATCATTTTTTTGTTTTGTTTGTATTTGTGTATGTATCAGCATGGTCTCCTTTTTTGCATGCACACTAGAGTATTTGTAAACACACAGACTACGAGGCTTTTCCTTGATAACAATCTACACTGAAATTGAAAATCATTTTTGTCTCATCAGAGGTGCACATAAAAATGGTGGTAAAACGTGCGTTTTCAAAAGGAAATGATATAGGGGTAATAGTAGTAGAAAGCGATTTCGAGCCGTGGACATGCGAGTGATCGATTATATTAAAAGTATACGATAGTATTTCGTTTATTCAAGATTCATCAATCACTTGGATTGATTCCAGATGGATGCCATGTAGGGTGAAGATTGAAACGAGTATTTGTGCTCCTAACTACGATGGTATAATCCTTGTGTCCAGTTGTCCACCAGGAGTCGATGAGCCCGAGCCCTTTAAGACCGTTCTTTATGCCGCAGCTCAAATTGATAGCGCACTTGGTAAAGTCGGTGCAGTATTGCCCATCAATCTGCCAGCAAGACGATTCGTTTACAGCCCGACTGGTCCGCTCAATGCAGACTATCACGATGTACGGAGTTTCAGTGAAGCAGCCAGCAGAGGAATCCAAAGGTAATCACGTCGAGATCAATCTCTAGGGATTCAACGAATATACTGCGAGAAAAAAAATTCGGACACGAAAAAAATGCAATTTACTGCGGCTTATCTGCTTGAGACAGTCCCTATATTGTTCTTTATCTTTTCATTTATTTTACAAAAATATAACTCCATACATTCATTGCATTTTAACCAATTTCTTGACTGTAAACTTACGCATGGAAAAAATAAGAATAAAGTTTTTTTGGTGTTTGTAATAAATTTATCAAAAGGCCATGTTTCAAATAACTAATTAGATTTATAAAGCGTTGAAAGTTCGATAAATGATTTCTCACTCTCATAAAAATGTTCTATAAATGCATAAAATATCGAAAAAACAAAAAAGCATAATAGAGTAAATAGGAATTAATAAACCGTTGAAATTCAATCGAATTTATATAAATATTTATTTTTTTATTTTTTATGGGAAAGAATTACGTATAGTCGATCTGTAGCAAATGTTTTAAAAATGAATTTTAAAATTCCGTGATGGTTTGATCGTATTTGAACCAACATATTTATTTACGTGCTCTTGTATTTAATAACGTAAACAATCATGACAGTTCAAAAATTATTATAGACCGTTAGAAAATTTCAAATAATTTATTTAAAAATTTTTGTGACAGACAACGCGATCCTAAGTGATTTCATTACACCAATAGAGGAATTTTATATAACTTCCATTATTATAAAATTAATTGCAATGATTGCTATAGAATTCGTTTAGTCTGTATTTGACCTCATATCGTTTATAAATTTTTCGTCAAACAAAAAAACTATTCATTTAAGTAGCTTAAAACATACACTAAGCTGTAGCTTATTATTAAAAGCACTTAACTTTTATTGGAAAAAACGTGATTTTCGTAAAAGCGCAGTAAAGATGTCAATGAGAAAATTTCTTTTCAATTGATCGTTGATTTCATTATCGGTATCCAATATATATCTTTTATTTTTCTTTATTATTTTGCTTCGACTAGTGCCCTGTAAATAACGTTTTGGTACTCTTACTTCACGCCTCAACAGTGGTAATTTCGCACACGCGGTACCTCGGCAAGAGAGTGCGAATACAAGCAAAACGGAGAATGAAAGAATACAGTAAAGCATATCGCGCTTTCTCATTCAATTACGAAAATTGTTTTTCCAATTTTAAATACATCTCAGCTCACTATTTCTATACATTTTCTATATTACAAGTGTTTATTGTGATGTTGAATATTTTAATACTTTCATACTTTATTTTTTTATATTTTATCTCTTTCTAATTCTTTTAGATCAGTCTGCAGTTACAGCAAAGTGATGATCTGTAAATAAAAGAAATTTGAAAAATAATATAAAAAAAGAATTATCAATTATTGTTGATACATATTTTTTGCTATTAAACGCCGATAAAATATTTTTTTTTTTGTAATATATCATTTATAACGTAAAAAAAAGAATTAATTTTTGATTCTTAAATTTGAAATTAATCTACTATATATTTCATAACGAATAGTTATTACTCTGTAATCCAAAAATTTAAATCTACTGAAAAAATCGATACAATACGTTCAATCTTAAGAATAATGAAAAAAGTTTGAAAACTGTTAAAAAATACATAAAAATGGTAAATTTTAACTAAATGTCTATTCATGCTATATTTTTCCATTTTTATCGTCAATATTTCACTTCAGTGATCTCATTCAATTAATTTTCACGTCTATTGAAATTCATTCCGCTAAATAAATTGTAACTAAAACTAATTTATTTTCAGAAATGATACTTCATATAGCTCCAGTTGTAACGTTGATTCTATTTAACTTAATTTTCATTGAGACTTCTAACTAAAGATAATGGAGTGTAAAATACATATGTATACTCAGTAATTTCTTTGACGAACATTCGTAATTAGTTATATACAGAATCTTGTCGATATTTTTATTGCTCTCCAACTTGGAAGCGAGAGAATGTGGGTAATTACTAGAAACACTAATAAAACATAAGTTTAGTATAACTCTAGCAGTTATAACAAAGAGCTTGCGTTTGTTATCTAAAATATGAATAAGTGTGGTATAATTTATCTAATTATTTGTTTAGCTGTTTTCTTTCGCTATTATAATCAATTTAATTACTTACCTTGAATAGTTTGATAACAATTTTTTTAAAATCTAAAATGTGCAAGTTATTAGATTCATAACCATGCTTTTATGATAACAGAGCCTTCGAAGCAGGCATAAGATGTCCCATGATAGTTCTTCTACCTCATTCCCACTTTGAAAACGTGGAGTTGGTCACTCTGCTTGGCGCCCTGGAAGGTCTCTATGTTGTAAGTACTACTTAAGTTCCCACTTCTTACTTACTCTCCCTTTCGATTACCTTGACTTCTTTGCTGAATCGTCACGTTACTTTTAGTTCGATTTGAAACTCATTTTCTACAAGTGCGTTTTAACTTTTAGTAATCCCCTACTCTCACATGCTTAAGGTATAATAAAATTTTTTATCGAATTATCGACTGGCTGCATTATTTTAACGAAGAAAAACTTGTTTCATCCACTTTTAACTTTTTTATATTTATTTCACTATTGTCGATGGAGTGAAATTTTTAAATTAATACTTGGTCTTTTGATAAAAATCAATGAATTTCTTTTCTATAGAATGGATTAAATAAAGTAGCTATTTTCTTATTACAACCATTGTTGAAAGGATTTAATAAATTAATTAATAATAATTAAACTTAGGGTTTTAATATTTAGACCGCGGTGAAGACATTTACCCTAAGTACTTAATAAAATTAAATTTATCTCAGGGCTGTTTCACTACTCAAGTATTCTTTAAGCATTTTGAGGTCGATGAATTGATCTTAATATTTTTCATCATCACAAGAAGACTCTCTAACTTTATCTTAAGAATCTTCTTCTATACATACTAGCCAAGCAGCTTCTTTTGTTCTAGAAAACTAACTACTTTATAGGTATCTTTTCTTTCATGTGTTCTATTTCATGTATTATATATACTGAATATATGAGAAGAAACATACATGTAGCAGCTGTGTTAAGTTAGTTTTGTAAGGTAACTTTCAACCCTAAGGGTTAAAATCACTTGAGTATCAGGAAGTAACGTAAGTTTTGTTCACTCCTGGATGAAGCCAGAGGCAACAAATGCCATGCGTTCTTCAATCATAGTATGGCTATCAAGCGACCTAATTAGTAAAATACCTTTACTTTCCTCAGAGAACTCAATTTAACTTTGATCAACTTATTCAATAAAACTTTTTCATTTGATAGAGTAAAAAATTGATTGAAAATGAGAAAAATGTTTTATTGATGACATTCTTCACTATTTGAATTAATTATTGTGAATATAACAGGAATTTTTTATTTATCTGTCCAATTATTTGAATATACAAGATCAAGCATATATATACTAGAATGTATACATTCAAATGTTCACTTTTGTCAAAAAATAAATAATAGTATTCATTGTTTATTACTGGTATGATTGCTCCATTTTTCAATATTATTTTTGTAAAAATTTTCCTTATTTCGATGAGCCAAAAAGTATTCTTAACTGAGTATCTTCAGTTTTAAAGTGATTTCTCGGTGATCATTATGTACTTATTTCTTCAAAGAGTTAAAAGTAAAGGATAAGTTTCTTACTCTAATAGCTCATATCTTCGTTATAAATTATCAAAGAATGATTTCTCTTCTCTTTAAAGTTTCTTCTTTCTGAAAAGGGGAAAATAGATTATTAATTTTTTGTTTGAGCTGATTAAAAATAATTTTGTAAGCTCGAAATATTTTTCAAGGTAAAACTATTATTCATTAAAATATTAAAGGGTCAAAGGAAATTGAAATTATAAAATTGTTTTATAAAAATTTCCGATAATCTTGAGGAAATTTTGTTCGAATGGGAACGGATGGATAGAGTTTCAAGTTTTCTCAGTTTACGTTTGAAAGTTCACTAAGATCTCATCTAAAACTGTATTCTTTAATATATGCAAAGTTTTTGAAGTATCCAATTGCATTGTGAGAACCCTGTAGATACCTAAGTTTCATGACTGTGATAAAGTAAAGCGTTTGTATTTTGAGAAGTATCACTGATCAGACTACTACGCCATCGAAATTCTGATGAAATATAATACAATCTCAGAATAAGTACTTATCAAATTAATTTTCACAAAGAAATTGTTTAGAGCTCAAGCTCATTTTGAAACCATGAAATTAGCAATGTAGAAATTAAAAAAAATATATTCAACTAATATTTAACAGCATATTCAACAGATATATATTTTTCGAGAACATAATAACGTTATTTGAAACTTTTTTATAGCTAAGTACCAAGAATTTCAATGATTCATAAAAAAAGTTGAGAAAGACAAGATTGTTAAACTTGTTGAAAAGTACAGTTTGTCATCTATTATATCAAATTTTTTTTCTAGCCACTAGAAGTGAGAGAGATGTGCGCCGATCAGAGCTACAAGACATGTCAGCTGGGAGTCTGGAGTCCCATCTGCGGTAAAAAGCTTGAGGGCATCGTAAAGCTTGCATCGGTACTCGAGAGCGGCAGATACGTCGCAAGAGATATCGGTAAGTCTGCGAATGGTGAAAGAAGCTGAAGAAGTATAAAGAAGGATGAAGAACAATTTTCTTCATCTTCTATTTCTTTGCTCTTTTCCCGTGTCGCTTCATTGGAGGTGTTTGCGATAAAGTTTTCGAGTACCTAGAGAAAAAGGAAGAACATGAAGAGATAAAGGATAGATGAGGAGCGATGGGCGGCTAAACGACGGAGTTTCTTCGCTGTCGGGAAAAGCGACGGGCACAAGGAAAAATGACTTGAGGTTCTTTAGCTACACCAGAGAGAAAGAGAGAATAAAAGACAGGAGAAAGCAAAAAGTCCCTCTGGCTCCTCATCCTAATTGAGAATCCAGCTTCAAGTTATATAACCTTTTCCTTCTTCTCTTTTTTACTCACTTCTCCGGTTAAAAGCCTTCCTTGTCATCCATTGACATCCTAAGCTAGCCACGAATCCTAGATTACAAGAGTTAAATGAGTTTGAAATTTTTAACGAAGGTGGAGCTGATCCTGAGCGAATGACACCATGTAAAATTCAAGAGTATGTCTCAGAATTGTTTCATGGTTCTAACGTGACTGTTCAGGTTGTTAGTGATGAAGAAACTCTTCTACAAGAATATCCACTCTTTGCGTCAGTAAATCGTGCTGCTTCGGTTATACCACGACATCGTGGAAGGATAATATTCCTGACTTATGAGCCACAAAATCCTTCTTACGTTTTGGAGACTCTTCTTCTTGTCGGCAAAGGAGTGACTTATGATACTGGTGGTGCGAGCAAGAAACCTGAAGGAATGTCTTCTGGAGGATCTAGACATAAATGTGGTGTTAGTGCATGTGTTGGATTTCTACAGGTATGTTATCTAAAATATAAATAATACATTACATTGTTAAATTGTATGTTGAAGAATATTTTTTCTCAAACTTTTAGAAATTTCTCACTTCAATATGTTTCTTACAAATCATAATAGTCAGAAGTAATGACATTTCAGGTCAGATAAAAAAAATGTAGTTATAATGAAATTCGTTAAACGAAGAATATTTTTTTATATATAAATATGTATATTACGTATTTTATAATTTTTGAATGCGATAAGCGATTTGTTATTCAAAGCTCTTTCGAAAATTTACTTAAATAAGATAATCCATCCACACGATTCATTAATAGAACATAGTTATTATTAGTAACATCTTTAGTAGTTATTCTAAATAATTACGTTGATAGTTTTCATTCATGATGAAACAATTTTGTTGGTGTCTTACCATTTGTGACAAGTTTACAAACTTCATTCAACACCCCATGTTTCTTACAATACACAATGTCCCGTTCATACAGAAGATAATCATGTCTTCATTCTTTTGTCTAAATGATTAAATTACACTCAAGGATCTATAAAATAGTTGAAGAATATTTATCAATAAATCCGCAAAACATTTATAAGTACATAAGAATTATTAAATTTAAAAAATTACACTGAATCTTACTATAGTGGTATTCTTCGGTAAAGTTCGCGTGAATTCGTATGAGTTCGCGGGGGGATGAGTTTAGTGAAATCGGAAGTTTCTAGATTGTAATTGCGTTACAGTAATAGTGTTTTTATTTATTACTTTATATGATTTTAAAATTAATTGGTTTTGAATTCTTCTTTAACAAGTTCTTTCAAATTAAAATAATAAAATTTTGATAAATATAAATTTCATCCAACTTTTCGTGAAAATCAGACATTGTATATGTACATAATAAACACAAAAGACAAGAGAGGGACACAAGGTTAAGTGAAACAAAGTGTCAACATTGAATCATTTGTCTTCTTTTTCATAGAATAAACTATTGCCCTATATATTGAGAAAATATACATGAAAAAAACGATTAATGGTTAGATAGCTATTTTCTCATTTATAAAATTCATTTTAAATGAATAATATTTTTCAATTTTTATGTTAAATTGAAATACTTCCATTTTTAACACCATTATTTCATTTTATGACATAAATTTCTCATTTATTGATTTATTGTTTCAATCAACAAAAAATTTTCTTTCAACTGTATTGAATTTTATTTATTCTTAAATTATTCTAATTCTCACAAATTCATATTTTGTCAAAATGATGTACGGTATTATGATTCATCTGTACTTATTTGTTTGATAAAAATTCATAAATTCACTGATTGAAGATTCAGGCTATAATTATTTCACAGTTATAGTGATAATGTAAAATATTATTACTAAAAATACCTATCTAAGCACATCATGTTTCAACCGTGCACATAAGGTATAGTAGAAAATGTCAATTAGCATTTCATATCAGAAAACAGGTAGTCAAGTTGAGTATAGGGGTGTGCCTTCAATGATGAAATACGGTTTCATAAATTTAATTTATTTAACTGAAATATTTTTATAAAATAAAGTTTAAAATAGTCCAGTTGCAGTAAGACTAATTGGATAATATATTTACATATTTTCTTTATACCAAATTTAAGTAACACATTGAATCAAGTTTAATTAATTTTGGTGAATTTTGTAAACAAACTTTTAGAGCTTTAAACAAAGATTGAGTTTTTCCTAAAGTAAATTTTTTTACCACATGATTTACGTAGTAAAAGAATAATATAACGACAGGTGGTAAATTTACTACAACCACCAACGGTGAAAGTTGTGGCTGCATTGTGCGTTTTGCGAAATAGTGTGGGAGAAAATGGGTACGTTGCTGATGAGGTGATTACCACAAAATCCGGGCGAAGATTACGCATCACCAACACTGACATTGAGGGTAGATTGACCATCACAGACGCCCTATTTCACATCAAAGAAATGGCACTATGCTCTGTAAATCCACACATTTTTACAATAGCTACCCTAATGACACCAGCAAAACTTGCTGTTGGAACTGGATATTCGGTAAGTGCTTTTTTTTATTTTTATTTGTAATTCTACTCAAATTGTTAAAAGTAAGAAATTGGATGGATTTTATCGTTTCCACCTGTTACGATTTTATACTATAAGATCTTGAACAATTTTTCGCAATTTATCCAAGCTACAAAGATTGTAGACAGAGTAATAAAATTTTCTATCTCTCAAGTCATCCCTCGGGTTTCTTTGGATGTGTAGAATTCATTAAGACATGATATAAGAGATGCCTTCACCTCCTTCTACTTCGTGTCTGGCTTCCTAATTCACTCGCTCATTCGTCAGAAAGTCTAGTAATTTATCAAATACTCCTTTCTTTTTTGCCCTTTATATTTCTTCAAGTAATTAGTTTTGAAATGCAATCAGTAGATACCTCGGTTTAACTGTTTCTAATGTTTTTATATGGATACAAGAACACTGTTTTTCGATGTTTTCCCTTATGTTGAACGAAAGTTTGGTTAAATCAGATGTAATGAGCAATTGCAGATTTTCCTACTAATTCTTGATTTCAAAATAGTTTTTTGAAGTTAATTTTTAAAAATGTATAATTGAATGAAAAATGATTTCTTGAATAATTAAAATAATTTATTAAATATTAATGATTGTATTACAATTATAATGAAGAGTTTATTTTATTATTAAAAGCATTTAATAGATTGTAAAATGTATTAAAGTATATTTTTTGCCATTGATTCAATTTATAATATATCTCTACCTCAATGATCTATTCTAATTCTTGTATATTGTATGCTACAAATTTTCATAGCAATTACAAACATAATGTTTATTATTTTCAAATATGTGACTTCCACATTTTTTTAAAAAGTAACAAAAAAATACAATCATTATAATAATCTCATTTATTTTAATTGTATGTCAATTGTCTCTTGACATTTTACAATACATCCTTTGCAATATAATGCAGTAGTTTCACTTACAAAAATCTATTTTATGTACATATTCTACTCGCGACTATTCACTTGGAGATTCAGGGCTTATCAGCTCCTTCCTTCAACAAAAAAAATACAAAATTTCTAAAATATAAAATTCGCTATTTCTAAAAATAATTTTCTCACGAATTTGAATGAATTATCTATTTCATTACACCTTTTTTCTCCTCTTCAAAATAATTTGTTGTATGCGCATATTTTTAGCTTAGTGTCAAGCTGAATGACTAATGTGTCCCACATGCATGAAAATATGAAAAGTTGGTAAAAAATTAAAAGAAAACATTGAAATTTTATGATCATAAATTTCAGATTGTAATGGATAACGCAGTTGCACGTTCAGTATACAATGCAGAAAAGCTTCAAGCATCAGGTGAACTGATGGGAGATCCATTTGAAATTTCTCGTTTACGTCGAGAAGACTTTAAGTCTCACGAAGCATCAACAGAAGGTGATGATATTAGGCAAGGTGCAAATGTGTTAGGATCAAAACTTGAACGTGGCCATCAAAGTCTTGCTGCATTCCTTATCATGGCTTCCGGTCTATGCAGAGTAAGTAGTTGAATACAAAACTAACCTACTTGTTCAATTGAACTGTAAAATTTTGGATCGTATTCTCTTAACACCTGTAATCTAAAGGTGTTCGTTTTGCAAATATTGAACATTTGCTTCATTTAACATTGTTAGAAGTTAGAGTTGCCTTTGAAGGTACATAGAGTCATTTGCTCGTCAATTCATCAATTTTAAAGTTTACTTTGCTCACATATTGATCTTTTGTAGCTCATAAAAGGAACTGTGGAATTTTAGTAAATAATTATGTGAGAAGTAATTTGCCTTATATTCATGACTAAAAGTCAATATTAGGAAGTTAAAGAAATATTTTTATAATTTAACTATAAATTACGGTGGAAAAATCGATTTTAATTTTTAGTTATTTTTTCTCATAATTTAATTATCCATATAAGAGTTTTCTCATCCAATCTGAATGTTTACGCTTTGCAATTCATATTTTTACAATCATTTGAAACCAAATCAATCATCAATTTGGTTTTGAATAATTTCTATCAAATTTTTTATTAACGATATATGGTTGATGAATTTTTGCAGTAATTACAATGATGCCTATAATAATACATCTCAAATCACTGAATATCTTCAATTCTCTCTCATGAGAATCAATATTCATTTCTATTTTTTCTGGAAAAAATTTTTTTTGCTTCCATTAATAACTTTTTCCTTTCAATCAATTCATTATCTTCTGACTTGTTAACACTTATATTTGCATTTATTTTATATTTATATTTAGCTCATTTTCCTTCATTCATTATCATTTTGTTACAAAAAAGTGGAGTCTCTACGAAATCATTGTGTGAATTCATTGTGAGCGTAAATGTAGATGAATGGTGTCTTCTCTCCCTCTCCTAAATTACTGTTCATTTGTAAATAAATTAATTTAGTGAAAATATCTCTGAAATTCATTAAATATTGCAAAATCTAATTGTGTAGTAATTTTATGAAAAACTTTAATTATTCGTAAATTCATCCATTTATTCCATACAAATATTAATTTAATACTTTTAACAATTCCAGTTCATAAATACGTTTTTTAAAACAATCATTAATAATAACAACATGAAAGAGCAATTAAAAGCTTCAACTGGTTTAAATTGTTAATATGAAAATTAATAATGCGATTTAAAACTTAGTCCTGCATAATGAATGTTCTTCCTTTGTATATTTAAATAATGGACATCGAGTTATATTAATTAATCTTTATGTACCTTGAGTTTGAAGTGTTCCTAGCAGTAATTGCTTTTTGGTATTTTCATTTTTTTTCCTTTTCTTTGGCCACAACAATAATCTCAAGACGACGAGTTTTCGTTTAACTATCCTACTAAGGCGCTCATTTTCAAGCGGTTTAATTACCCAAGTTGTCGTGTCGTGAATTAAACTTGTTTAGATTCGCCAAGTCGTAAATTTGGTTATAGCGTACCCGGGACATTTACTCTCACGGCTCAGAACTTACTACAAAATTTTACGACGAGAGGTAAAGCGACGAGTATTGAAGAAAAAACCCTTAAGAATCTTGGTTACTGTCCTCCATTCTATTCCAAATGAAACCCTATATTTTTCACGTCCATTCTTCGGTTATGTTCAACAAATTTATTTTTATAGACTAAACATCAACCAATACGACTATTTTATGGTTACACGTATTTTTCAAAGTAAAGTGTCAAATGCAATTTTTCATTTTATATCTCCATTTTTCCCCTCATCCAATTGACATTTTTGCATTTCAAATATTTCAGCATGGAATTGACAGTCCTTCACCCCTAAAATACACATTCATTGGCATCAACTCCCATCTATCGGTGAATCGCGATCTTGCAAAGCCTTACCAAGGGAATCCCATACTTGCATTGTCCTATTGCTACCTGATCCAAGGCAAGTGTTTGACGATAAGAAGTGATCCTCCACCTTCTGCGGAGATGCAATATGTCGCTGAGGTTGGCTGTAAACCTATTGGCATCACGTCTTCCCATCCAAGTGGAATTATTGGGGATTCCGTACTAAATCCCCGTATCATCTTGAATCCACAACTAGTAGGATATTCGCGTTCAAAACCTCCTGAACATGAATCAGATATGCTTCCAGAGAGAATCCTCCATCATTCTATGTATTCTCCAGATGTCAAGAGAAATAGATTGAAATCAGCATAATTTTCTATCTTTATTTAGCAATCAATTCATTTTCCTATTTTTTCAAGAAGGAAAATTCTGTATCTGCAGCATACAAATTAGGACTCTGCTAAGTTTCATTGACCGGTGGTATCTTAGAGAGCTGTTGGTAACTTCCTACTTTTCTGACTTTTAAGATAACCGATGAAGAATATCATTTTAATAGTTTAGAAAATACCGATTGATTGGATTACAGCTATAGATTTTCGATACAAACTTATTTTGTAACAATTTACACTTTTTATTGTTAAAAAAGTATTTTTTTATTTTAGATAATTTTTTAAATCTTTAATATTGTTTTTTAAAATTATTTTTCTACTCCAATGTAAAATGAAAAAAAAAAGAATATAATAATAAAATTTTTAAAGTTTTACGCTAAATTATGAAATATAATTGGGAAATAATTTTTATGTTTATTTGTTAACAATTGATAGTTTTCAATTTTAAAGGAAAATGAAATTTCTTCAAAGTGAACATTTTTCTATTCGAATGGCCTATTTTTTGTAATTCTAACAATTTCTTGAACTGCACTGCGTGTTACTTTTCCTGTTGAAACTTCTATTTAGTGACAACTGTCTGCCCGATTACTATCTCCAAAACTCTTGAAAAGACTTAAAAAAAACCACACCAACAAAAGAAAAGTTGTAAAATTTTACGGCAAAGGTACGATAGTAATTTTCCTCCTGCTGGCAAAGAAAAAGAAATTCGTTTAGTTCTTCGACGAAATTTTATTCAAGTAATGCTTACATTTTTTGAATGCACCCAAAAGTTTTCTTTAAACATTTAAATAACGAAATACAAGAAAATCAATATAATCTTTTCATCTTTAAAACTCCAACTTCGAATAAAATTAACAATTTATTTGTTTCTTGCTCATAGAATCTACAACTTAATTCTATTTTATTGCATGATTAAAACAATGGAATTATGAAAAATCATTTAAACAAAACTTTCTCTCATGAAGACAGCAAGAATTTATAGTTAAATAAGTAAAGTTTGAGATCGTAAATATATACTCAAATTTAACATCAAACGGTAAAATATATGAAATCATGAATAAAAAAGTAACGAAAGAATAATATACAGTCGGCAATAAATCTTCGGGATTTTATGCAAGCACACGAATGAAGAGAATAAAGTGGGGAGATTCATGTAAATGCATATCGAGCATATGCAACAGCATACATTTTGCCTCTTACTATACATAAATGTATGTACATTATTAAAAATTTTAATAAATACTAGGTACAACTGCACTGCAATTTGCATGATTAATCCCTTGGTATCGTAGTTAGTGGTTTTGAAAGTCCAGTGTCCACATATTATGTGTCTAAGCATGAATTATTAGCAGCAATAAGGTCAGCAGATTCGTTAGAAAATCAATAATAAAACTATTAAAATATAAAAATATTAGTAGTAATGATTGATAAAATTTATAATCTCCATAATAAATCAAATTTATTTGTCATCAAAGAACATTGTATTTAGTATAAAATCAATTTAACAATTACTAAGTGTTAGGAATTGTATCTACTCTACTTTTACTCCCCTCCAATCTTTATTCTTAGATTATCATATTTCTCGTAAAGTATAAAGTCTCGTTTAGGTCAAATTTCTGTCTACCTTTTAAAAAATCATTTTAATCACTTTAAAATATTCTATGTCAAGTATAATAATCCAGAAAATTCAATTTCATGTCTTGACTATAAATGACATTGTTTTCCTTTTTGTTATTGAGATTAATATGTGTTTTCTTTTATTAAAAGTGAGAATATTCAGTTAAATAGAAAAGGTATTGCAGATAGCAGTTGAATCTAAGGCTTTACAATCGTAGTTATATTTATTACACTTATCTAGCAGTGATGGAGACTAGTTTAAGCCACTTTACCGAATATATGAGTATTTATTGCGATTATAAATAACTTACTATCACTAGCCTTATTAACGATAATAGGCTTTATTTATTTCTTAATCCTCTATTATTTCACTTTGCTTGTTTACAAAAATATTATCGAAAAACAATAAACATTACAACGATATGAGAAGAGATATAATTCGCACTTAATAGTTGAAAAGAAATAAATGAATATTTATTAATAAATATATTTAAATTCATAAACATCAAATATTATTTATATATCATTAGAGAAAAATCGTCATTAATATTTACAGCAACAGAGAACATTTTTTCTTATTAAAAAATAATAAATTATAATTATTTATTTTATTTAAAATAATTACAATCAACAATCTAATTGTATATTTTGTTTATTATTATCTAATATAATTGATAAACTTTTAAAGTTGTAAATATTTTTTTTCTGACAAAAACATTTATGTTTGGCATTTATAGTATGTTAAATTAAATATATTTATGCAAAATTAAATTAAAAACTCTGCATTAGTTAACGATTAATTTACAAATTATTAGTATATAAATGTTTCTCAATCGGAATGGTTGCAGAGAAACGAAATTATCATTCAGTTCTGCAGCAATCAACGATCAATAGGTGAAATAAAAAATCATAAAATATTATATGGCCTGTGCACAAGGTTGAGAAAAATTAATCGATTAACTATCGTGTCTATTCCGTGGAGATTCATCGATACTGCTGCGATGAGCAGTTTACGTATGTATCTATGTATGGACCGTTCGTGCAGGATGCGTAACTTCCTGCATCTCAGGGTTTCTCGTATCGCGCGACAAGCGATCGCTGGCTGACGTGAAAAACCGGCCGCACACACACTTATCTTTCCATCTCCTTTTAGCTGTAGATTCTCTATACGACTTTCTTCTTCCATTTCTCTTTTTTTACCATTTGTAGCCTCCCTTTAACTAATCAGCAAGCTGCATCATTTTTTTTTTACTCGAAACATGCTATAATAGACGGTTAAAAAAATCTACACAAAATTGGGGAATGAACTAGAAAGGGAAAATAGATCTTTTGTCAAATACTCAAAGTTCGCGCAGATGAAAAACAAAAAAATTGAGAGAAATATGTGCATCCGGGGGTGACTATTTGCCTTTTTATAAACCCGGAAATGAATTTTTCAATCAATAAGAATGGACATAAATAAAAAAAATCTAAATGAAAGAATTTTCACTAAATACGATTTTCTGGATTTTCAAAGGTTGAGTCGCTCAGTTAAGTGATGATTGGTCAGAAAAAAGATAAAAGGAAACCCCGACTTTTTTTCTTCAAATATCTTTTAAAATATACCAAAAGATTTGTCAAGCTGAAAACGACTTGATATTTTTTCAAAAAGAACGTGTCTTTCAGCAAAGGGTTACTTTAAGAGTATATTATAAAGAGCTCTCGACTGATTTCCGACTTGTGCAGAACAAGGAAGAGAGGCATAAAGAGAGGTCGATCGCGTCGACATTTCTCCGAAAGTTGTTTCCCAGTTGGAGGTATCACAGCCTATCTTACGCGACAATCTCGCAGAAATATCTTTCCCGCAAACGAATGCGGAACGAGTGGTTCATTGTTCGTCCAACGACCACCTCATCGTTTCTTCCTGACTTTCTTCACTTTTCTTTCACTCGTTAAGCCGATTCGTCTTCCGATTAAAATCTATAGTTGTTAGACACACTATTAAACCGACTCTCCTCATCAATGCTTACCAATCGGTACTAGTTACGGCTAATTTCAAAGACTTCAGAGCATTTAGAGTACAAAAGAAGAAAAAGTAGGTGCGGAAAAGACTTATATAAAAGAAGAATCGTTTTTTTTCTTGCCGTAGCTTACATTTGCTCTTTCATTGTGGTTAGTGATTTTGTAAAGAATATCGAGGTAATGAAGACGTCAAATATCTTGTAATCAAAAATTAACAAAACCCCAATTGACCTGTTAGTTTTACCACAGCTAATCGTGAGTGTCTAGACATATAGCGACATGGCTGATTAGTATTATCGGAGATTGCTCCCTTCGGTCAATCAATGCTTCGCGTGTTTAAGAACCTAAAGCTACCAAGTTGTAACTCACAAAGACCACCAATAATGTTAGCTGTATATAAATAGTCTTGATTATTTCATTGACTTCAATTAAGAATCAAACATTCTAATTGCAATGAATCATCGACATTTTGTACTATAAATATCAGCTACATTTAAAATCGCATATTCCAAATATCTCAATTGAGTGATTAATTTATAAGTTCATTAATAATAATGTATCTTTTGTTCTGGTTTCTATATAAACTCGATAGGAATGAATTTCTTTCAACTTTTAATCCATTTAGAAAAGATTAAAAATAGTTTATTAAAGAAGGTGTGGTGAATAAAATATATCAAAGTCAGAATAATTTAATGAAAAGCAAGATGACAAATCAAAACAAGTAATCATCGTCGAGTAATTGATTTATTTAATTATGGCATTAAGAAAATTAATAAATTGCTCGGTCTAATAAATGTTTATTGATAGCATGCATTCTTTACAAATCAAAGTTCATAACATTTTAATTTAATAAATACTTTTAGAGTTCATTGGTGGATAATTGATGCATTAAAAAACATTTTTAAAAATATTTTAACAGAACAAATTACATTCGTGCATTCAGACAGTTGTTCACTTCTCCAAATGTTCAAGTAATCACTATATTTTTCATGAATGTCTTCATAACGTATGGAAGGTATTCGAAACAAAACATTTAATTACATAACTTTTAAATATCTCCAAATAACAAATGGGCTTTCTATGAAGTTGAATTTCGGTGTTTAATTAAATATTTACCTAATACGTTGAATAAGAGTTTATATTAATTGCCAAGTTCTAATGACTGTCATTCGGGTTTTTCAATGCCACGCATATCAAGTGATGAGAATATGAAAGAAAAAAACCGAAAATTGGGCGTAGACCGTCAACTGCGAAAACTCTGTTGGCAGGAAGCTTCCCAAAACAGCCGGCGAATTTTCAGACACCTGGTTGGAGGTGGTACAGCAAAGCACTTGAGAAAGCTGGTTGCGTGTTTCTCTTAAAAGGATAAGAAAAGAAATGTCAGGGTAAGAGTTTAAAGTACCACAAGAAAAGGGAAGTACTTGGGTGGCAAAAATATATCTCTGAAATTTCTTGATAATAGTATGCGGAAGGATTGAAGGGTAGAAAGATCTTTAGCATACTTTTCTCTTTTCTTCTGTCTGCACCTCTCAGCACCCTCATTTTTTTATTCATGATACTCCCGCACG